AAAATGAAAAGCAAATCCTTCCGAGTTGTAGATTTAGTGTGGAAGACTCTTCTACCTCTTGGAATGAAGAGAAACAAGTTTGGCAAGTGGTCCCCTAGCTGGGAGGGTCCATTGCAGGTGATCAAATTGGCGTTTGCAAATTCATATATGCTAGAGATGTTGCAAGGTGAGTGTCTCCCTAGAGCAATCAACGGGAGGTATTTGAAAAAATATACTTTCCAAGTGTTTAGCAAGATGCCTAAAGTGTTGTCCAAACAATGGCCGATACATGTATCGCCCTTAGAAGAAATATGGCCAATGTATACGTCATCCTTAGTCACTAGGTAGCCAAAGAGTAGGACATCATTGCTATTTAGTTTCTTATGTTTTCAGGCTCACCTAAAGCTTCACCTAAAAATAGGGGGGCATATGTTGACAATAAAAAATGACCCAAGGGCTTTGCAATGATGTTTAAAACGAAGGAGTCCTAAAACATGTTTTGGATCATCGCATTGAGGTCCAAAGAACAAAAGAAGGGAAAGGGCGGCGCCACCCCTGTTGAACCAGCCTGGCCAGTCCTCAAGCCAGCCAGGCTGGCTGGCCTGCACCCTACGCGCCCAAGGCTGGGCTTCCCCATGTTGGCCCATGAAACCGTCCTGGCTGGTTTGGGACCCGACCAAATTAGCCTCCTTGCACCTCTCTGCCAAACTAACCTGGCCGGTTTGGTACCCGACCAGGCCGGTTCCCCTGCGTTGGCCGCTGGTTGGGGTGGTTGGGCCACGACAAAACCGGCCTAGCCGGTTTGGGACTCGGCTAGGCCGGTTTCCCTGTTCAAGTCCGAATCGATTACCTACCAAGTTGGTTTTTGGACGTGTTTTGGCATAGAATACGTGGAGATTACGATTTGGACTTGTTTCCTATTGGGATAAGACCACTCCCCCTATATATATCAAAGGATTACGGACGATTGAAGGATCCAACACTCAATCATCTTTTTTGCATCTATTACCCAACTTTTACCCTTTTGCAACCCTCCTGCTGTTGGTTGCATCTCTCCACGAGATTCATCGGCGTTCTACGTAGCCTTGCCGACCCTAGAACAATCCTAAGCGTGCTCCTCCCTGACGGATCCCCGCGGGAGGTGTTCGCAGGCTTTTGCAGTGAACAACGGGCTCTAGATCGGCCTAATCGATCTCTAGATCGGTTTCATCGATCCCTATAGTTGCTTGCGGAGTGTGATAGGTTGATTGCAACCTAGGGCGTGCTAGCCCATGTTGGTGTGTGATTTGGGTCTCAATCCAACCTCAATAAGACCTTCGGTTCAACCCTTTATTCCCGTCTAAAATTGGGCCCGGGACTAATGTGAGTATTAATCCTAGGTCCAAGTTTGATGAACGTCGGAGGACCTTTAGTCCAGGTTGACCAACCGGAACTAAAGGGTCTACATTAGTCCTGGTTGATGTTACTAACCGGGACTAAAGGCCTTGACCCTTTAGTCCCATTTGGTAACACCAACCGGGACTAATGTAGACCCTTTAGTCCCGGTTAGTGTTACCAACCAGGATTAAATGTCCTCCGACGGGGAAAGCATCCCATCAGAAGTCACCTGTGCTGTGTAGGTGGAGTGAAAAGTTATGCGCGAGGCAATGGATGAGGTCTTGGGTTCGAGTCACAAAGGTAGGGAAGGCTTGTGCCCCAATTATGTTTTTAGCCTCGGGGGCCTTTATTCCCGGTTCCAGAGAACGGGCACTAAAGGTCCAGATCCGTGGTCTCGGTTGGAAAACCGGGACTAAAGCCCTTTCCCAACCGGACTACAAGTCCTTTTTCTACTAGTGCGTCTTGGATCCCAAGGCCATGTATTTATACATCGGAGTAGGATACAGTGTGCTATTATAAACGTCGTGGGCTCTAATATTTTATAAAGTCCGCCTAACTCGTCTATGGCACCTCATGAAAAATGCATAATATAAGTCAAATTTCAGAAGGCTTCCAAGGTCGGGGAGGAGGTTGGCGGGCACCTTACGCGTGAGTCCCCAAGCTGAACGTGATAATCTATGACAAACTATTTGGAATAAATGAATTAGAAGAAACAGTCCCAATGCACTATAGCTACGCGAGTGGTTTCTTTGCAAACTATCATCCGGTATAGCTACCTTGCAACCACTGAAGGAGTTTGCTCTAGGAGCTCTACCGACATGCACTTAATGTTAGACTTTTGATATCATTATTGGTCTTATGCACTACATCGATGTTGAATATGTCGTAATCAAAACATCTACCTACAGCGTTGCACAAGCCATGAGAAAGAAGGTAAAATATATCCTTCATCATTATCGTCAACAACTAATTGTTTGCCTGTCATTTGCTTCGTGTTCTCTATGGCATATATTTGGTCTCATTAGTGAAGACATGCAGGATGCTATTTATTATCTCATGTTATTGGCGTGTAAGAAAATGTAATGTTCACTACTACTATAAACAATATCAGAAATGGTCGAAATCAGTTTCTGAAGGCGGCAGCACTGTCCGCCTCCATACCAACATTACTGCTAATCCCATACAACAGAGACGGGCCATTACCCACCCCTGAAAAACAGAAAAAAAAAAAAAAAAATGGCCCCGCCGACAACACCACTTCTGAGCCCGCCGCGGAGCACACTCCTGAGCCTGCTGCCAAGCCCATCACCCTGGTGTCATGGAGCCACCGCTAGCGCTCGTCGTTGGCCTCCTCCGTCGTCCAACACTGCTGCTCCAACACCACAGCCAGCCAGATCACAGCGAGACCCCGCCATGTCACGTCATGCTTCTCTCGCCCTGCCTTCTTGTTCGCTCACGAGATCCACACTATGGCCGCCCAGGATGGAGGAGGAAGCGATGATGGGGAGGTGCTAGACTTTGGCCTCCTCTCCGTCGAAGTCGTTGTGGCTGGAGAGTGTGATTTGGGCCTTGGGGGGCAGCGCTCCACGCTGACTGGAGGAGGGGCACCGGAGGTGCGTTGTGGCTACAGTGGGGGGCCTCCATGCTCTGGATCCTGGCGAAGATGACCTCTAGGCGCCGAATCTTGGTGGGTATGACCTTTAGGCACCGAATCTTGGTGGGATGACCTCCTGGCGATGGATCCCAGCAGGGACGGCCTCGAGGCGCTCGATCCTAGTGCGGGGTGGGGGAGTGGTGCTCTGCGCAACAGAAGTAAGAGGAGAAGGGGCGGGTGGGAGATTGGGAGGCGGTGGGTGGGAGAAACAAATGGGGCAGGTGGGAGAGACTGGTGGAGAAGAAACACTAGCCATTTTGTATACCCAGACGCGATTCTAGACATTAAGATGGGCCTTGGGCTCCGTATCCATTAACAGAGGTGGGACTAATAAGGTGTCTGTCTCTGAAAATGACTCATATTTTCAGAGGTGGACGCCTTATGAGGCCCGCCACTGTTAATCGATTTTAGGAGGCGGACTGTCTCCATAAATGAGTAAAATGGCGCTTAAAATGCCAAACTATTTTAGGAGACACATAGAATTGGTGTCTGCCTCTGAAAATTAAAAAGGCTTGTCTCCTAAAATTATTTTTGTGGTAGTGGTTCTATGTTATGAATAAGAAATTAGCACTATCCTAGTTCGTGTACCAAAGAGAACATTGCCTACTTTCGCATCTTTTGTTAGCAACTAATGTGAATCAAGATCAAACAAAAGAAACATATTTTTACGTAGAAAATTCTTGCATGAAAAGATCACGGGCACCAACTGGTGATATTCACTATTTAAGGAGAGTTCATAAAATTCAGGGAATATAGTGAGTCATGAACTTTCTCATGTGGTGTGACATCTAGCCTAGTTTGGATTTTAGATCAATGGCTTATTTGTTGTGAAATTGTGGGGGTTTAGTCCCACCTTAGTTTTTGAGGGATGATTAGACCAACACATCAGGATTTTAGAGTCCATACTCACCATCATTGGGTTAATCCTTTTCGACCAAGTGAGCAGAAAAACGTGAGTGGTTTGGTAGTAGTGTGTGGTTTATTTAGTGTGCAGAATGAATATTTTCTTTCGCTACAATCACCTCTTCGATGGATGAGTACACCTAGAATCTCAAATGTACAAACTTCCTGCCGTGTACCACCAATGGCTGAATCGTTGATGCTGCGACAGTTTCCACCATCAAGGACAGCGCTCATCATGCCACCTTGATGTTCGATACTAATCTTGCTCATCATCATTTCCCTCTGTGCAGGAGATTAAGGATGACCGAAGTTATATGTCCTAGGCGGAATCACATGTCGGTGGGGAACCAAGGAGAATGTTCGCCGCCATCGACCTCACCCATGATCCCATTATGTTTATGTAGAAAAGGTTTAGAAAAGTTGGAAAGGGTGACACACACGCACAAGATCCCGCCTGTCAGCTACCCAGAGAAAACAAATGTATTAGGAGCGGTGCATGGGAACTTCTCCGTTGTCAACCATTTTCACCGACGGTTTGCATAATGAACCGTCAGTGAAAATGATTTTCAACGCTAGTGGGCTTAATTGTTTGTGAAAATCATTTTCACCACTGGTTTATAATACGAACCGTTAGTAAAAAATCAATTTCACCAACCGTTCAAATTATGAACTGACGGTGAAAATTAGTCCCGTTTCGTATAGTGGAAATCATAGACTCGCCAGGGTCCCGTAGCGAGCCAGGATGGCACCGATGGTGATAGATAGATAGATAGATAGATAGATAGATAGATAGATAGATAGATAGATAGTGGAAATCATCTACTAGATAGATAGATAGATAGATAGATAGATAGATAGATAGATAGTAGAAAGAAATAAAGAGATATAGTAGATGATGTGGCAGTCTATGAACTGGATACCATAGTATTTATTATTTGATTGAACGGGATGTAGAATGAGATATCAAATGTGGTCAGATTTTTCGGCCGTGCTTCTATATATAATCAAAACTGAGGGGCACTACTCAGTCAGTGTAGTACTATTAGCTATGGCACTCAGCAACACATCAAGCAGCAGCGTGCACTCCATGGCTGCTGCTGTCTTCGTCGCTCTCCTGATCGTGTCCGCTCTTGTCTCGTCCACCTATGCCGGTACGAGCAGCAATCAGCATGCCTGTATACCTCTACTGCTGCTCTGAAACAATATAATCTTCAGATTAATTAATGAATTAATTAGTTAGTTGTTATCAAGAGGCTATATATATATATATAGGGCTGTCGTCATGCGTCGGGGGTGTTTAACCCTGTTTATGCCATCGTACGTAAACTGACTGACTGAGTTTTGTGCAGAGATTGGTAAAAAGGAGTGCACCAATGTAGATTATGACTGCAACCGTCTCCCAGGATCCCGAAAGTGCGGAGATTCGTGCAGAGCCAAGGCCCGCTCCGAAGGCAGTAGCAATTACGCGTCAGCATGCGAACCTGCAGTTGCGCCGTTCAAGTGCTGCTGCACCGTCAAGGATCCACACCACCCGTGGCCTCCAACCTCCTAAATAAATATATATATACTGTAATATGTAGCGTCCTTGGCCGCCTAGATGCGGGATCAGCCTCGCAGCATATGCCTATGCCTATCCATCAATCTTATATACAATATAGTCCCTAATAATATATAAATAAACATATATAAAGAGAGAGACAGTTCTTGAGACATTTGATTCTTTATTATTACTAGCAAATGTAACTGTACTTTTAAATAGAACCCGAATACATATTAGGATCGAACTCGTACCATCATCAATAAACGCGAGTTGTTCCAATTCGTATGAGTACACGTCATGAACCTAGGTAACGCACCTACGTTACAAGGAGGACGTGAGCATACTTTAAGAAGTAAAAAAAATAGATAGAAGATTCATTTCGCTCTTTATTATCAGGCTACCAAATATGCCCATATGTTACAACACATCTATATCTATATCTATCTATATACTTTTTAATATTAAAAAACAAAGTGATTCTTCCGTCCATCTTTACCTACTTCCCATAATGCCATCACCTCCTTTCTATTTCGTCCGTGATTCAGACTCACGAGCCGTGCTCATACAAGTTAGAACAACACATGACTAGTGATGTTACGGAGTTCGATTCCAAGGCACATCCAACGACGGTACGGAAACAACATGTCATGTATGTGACTCGAACTGTCGACACCCTCACCATCAACTAAACTACCGCCCAAGACGGACTGGACCGAGCAACAATAACTTGTTGGAAAAAAATTCTTCTTAGCTAGGGCCTGTTTGGACGGCGCCTACGGCTATCGTGCCGCACCTGTGGCTGTGCCAAATCTATGGCATTGGAAACACTCGCCACACATTTGGCAGGGTGTGGCAGCAAATTTGAATTACATTGTTGTGGTTTTGTTGCGGCACACCTTAATTCTGTCACCAGCCAAACGCAAGCCAGAATTCGCCACATTTATGGTGCGACAGTTGCGGTAATGCGTGGCAACGAAGTAAACAAGCCCTAAATATACCCAAACAATCATTTTAAGTATAGGTTTGCGGAGCCGCCTCTAGAAATATCATTTTTGGAGGCCTCTAGGAATCTCAACCGACTCTACAAATTTAGGCATTTAAAGAGGCAGCTAGAATTTCAGGCGTCTCTAGAAATTGGATTTCTCAAGATGACTGGTGATCACACCAAAATTTGGAAGAGATCGTGAAAATCATAGCAGCAACCGCATCGGCTCGAGCGTAACGAAGACGGACTCTGCCAGAAAGGAAATCGTGGAGTCGTTCTTGTATTAAATTAGTTTTCTTTTTTAGATAAGGAATTTAACTGTATTCGGTTAGGACTCGTATCGGCCCAGGGTATAAATATAAACCCCGGCTATTGTAAAGAGGAATATGATCAATACAACTTATCTTTCGGCTTCACACCATTACTTTAGGAGTAGGAGTAACGTAGTTTCTCGACGAGTTCTTCACTAAGCAGGGTTGCATCAATTTTGATCTCCGGTTTGCTTGTAAGTACCGTTCTACCGACTTATATCTAATCTTGTATGGCTGCATCTTATGATCTCTTGCTAGATTTGGTATTAGTCAAAGTTATCGATTCTATCACCTTTAGTAAGGCTGCATCTTATGATCTCTTGCTAGATTTAGTAGAATCACAAGTTATCCGACTAAGATTAAGGTACATTCGCTTATATCATACGAATATGTCGTTTTATTGTTCATCACGTTTATCCCTTTTACGACGTCAGGTTGTTCTAATGGCCGATTGTATCTTAATCCTAGTTTTATATAGTGTGTTTTTAGTATTTTGTTCTAATATAAATAGATTTGACAGCTGATGATTATGAATCTCTTATGAATGATGATTTGGGAGAATTAAATTATCATCAGCTACATGCACTTGAACCTAATGGAAAATATCTGAAGAAGTTTTACCCTAGCGTATGGGTTGATACTTGAAAGACGATTGATCCTGCATCAGCTAGGTAATAGTCGATACCACATGGTATCGCCTTTAGAGGTAAAAAAAAAAGAGAGTAAAAAAAGAAAGAAAATGAAATAATGATGGTAATCATAAAAGCCGATGTGATATACATCACCTATAGAGCAAATAATATTACACAAAGAAACATTGTTTGTCATTGAGCATCATGAAGTTTGACAACCGGATAAAGTACAAGTTTTACAATGATCCCAGGGTTTTCTGGATTGTGTTCACCGCACGCAGGCGGATCTGATCAATTTCATCAATCAGCCGATCATCATCTTCTGTGGTGCCTGGGATCGGCTTGATGCTTTGGTGCAAGGCGCAAGTTTGACGAATTTTGAGGGCCATTTGTTCTTTGATCTTGCCAACAGTTTCTGGGAGATGATTCAGTTTGTGCTCCTGTTTGTTGATAGCGACCCGGACATCTTCCAACTCCTTTAGAAGCTAGGCCTCTCTGATTCTAAGCTGATTGATTTCCTGATTGATCTGGGCTGGGGCCTCTCCGAGGGTGTCGATTCATTTCTTCAACTCTATGACTTCTTGCCGACCGGTATCTCTTTGATTGAGCATATCTTGTTGAGCGGATCGGTCGGCCAAGCGGTGTTGTGCTTGTAGAACTTGGAGTTAATGGCACTCGATGAAAGCTGCAGGAATGATGGCCGATTCGAGCTCAGGAGTTAGTTGCCTTCTGATGGATTGAAGGATATTGCGGATCGGCCCAGCATCTTGAACTAGTTCAACTATATTCTTATTTAGGAAAACCAGCATTTCTTGTAGCCTATTTTTCACTTCATCGGCTAAGGATGTCTCCATTGTCTGTTGAGCCGATGTGCTTGAAGAACTTGCTTCATCTTCGGCCAAGAAATCTTCAATGTCAAAGGAGAAGAGACTATCGGGTGGAGAATCTTGAGCCCGCAAGATTAAAGACAGAATTAGAAACAAATTGTTAAGATTAACATAAAATGCTGAGGTAAAGAGAGATACTTGTTTTAGTTGGTTTTCTTGATGAGCAGAAGGCATGATGGCCGATGAGCCTGATATAGGCATCTGGGGAATCGTCTCATTGGCCGAGGGTGGCACATCTGGAGCGAAAAGACCGCCGGCCGATGAAGTGATAGGCAAAGCTTGATCTTCTTCCATTCTCTGGACTGTCGAGGAGCAGAGGTCTAAAGGAAAACTTTGATCAGTACGGACAGAATATAAAAGCCAATTTATGCAGGAAGATGAATTACCTGAACAATTTCAGCCGATGATGGTATCCCAAGAGCGGCTGATAATGAAGAGCCAAGGGTGCGCTTCTTGGTGGTCTTGATGGTAAGCTTATGCTTCTTGGACGCCGGCCCTTGCATTAAATCAGTTACAGTAGGTGCATCATCCCAATAATGCGAGAGGCCGATGGTGGAGCGTACTATATCGACTGATTATTCCTGCTCGTGGAGGACGGCTGCACATTAGCATCCTGTGAAGAAGCCAATTAGGTATTGTTTAAAGATAACATTAGTAAATCGGTTGATGGAGATTTCTTACCTTGTCACCAGATTCACCATAATCGGCATCCAATCGCTGACAGAAAGTCTTGGAAGCTTGACAGAAAAGGTGTTGCTTCCAATCTGACCACCATTGGCTGAACAATTTGGAGCTGAGTACACCATATAGCCACCGTATCAGTTTGATTGGTGGAAATGCCAATGCAAGAGTATGCTAAGATAGAACTAATTGGGTTGCATACTACTACAAATACTGACAGAACAAATGAACTACTGGCTGCACCAACAGACAGAGGAGACACAAAATAGTGAAATACTACTAATACACTAATACAGTCTAGAAAAGTAAATTAGTACCAGGGACTGAAATTTGATTTCATCTTTGCTTACACATAATAGCAGACTCTGCATAGTTGTGCGTGTGGTAATCAGTTGGGAGGAAATTAGCTCTAGAAAAGTAATTGTCTTACAGGCGTCCTGCTACAAGGCGTCCTGCTACAAGAGAGTATTTTTTAAACGTATGTATGAAAGAAAGAGAAACACTCTGAAATTACTTATATTGAGTTCATTTCTCTAATAGTAGCAATTTTCTTATAGAGCTCCTTTCTCTACAATTAATTGCCTTATAATAGTCAGGACACTAGCTAGTAGTAAAACTCTAGTTTAAATTATCAATACAATGTCTACATTCCCACGCCACCTTGCTTGTACCACCAGATACAAAAGATTTGCATTAGTACGATAGTTATGTGAATGCACAATATTTAAAATTACTATTAACAACTATTAACAAATGATAAATATTACTACTAGACATGGTGTGCACTGCAAAGTAGGCGTGGTGTAAAATGATTAAAGTGGAAAGAAAATACTGACAATTACTACTAATAAACGATAAATAATACAATAGTAGTTCTAATGATACTATGAACTAGTAGACACCTGATTGGTGGTTTCTCACAACTACTACTAATAAACAACGAAAAATATTGATCCATAGCAGTATTAAAAAAGGGATTCAGGTAGTAACGTTTTCTCATCATAGCAGTATATGCAAACAATATTACTACCAAAAGTCAAAACTACCAGTAGCCGCTGGGCGCCACTGGATGAGTGGAGACGCCACCGCTGCCACCACCGGCACCAAGGAGAGGCCACCGCCATCACAGGGAGGCCGCCGCCGTCGGAGTTGGGGTGGGGGAGGGCTACCTCGTCCGTTGTCGAGGTCGGGGTTGGGGAGGGCTGCCGTGTTCGCCATAGCCACCTGCTTCCCGTGCTTGAGATCCATGGGGGTGAGGAGCTGCCGCCGGCCGAGGGTAGGGGCCCACCGGCGGCCAGAGAGAAGGGGGCCACCAGATCCCGTACGGGGGAGGAGGCCGCCGTCGCCATTGGGTGCAGATCTCGCACTCCACCGGACGACGCTCCGCCCAAGCTCCATGGCAGCCGCGGGGAAACGGGCCGGGGGCCACCCCCGCTTGCGCCCTCGATCTGGATCTGGGAGATGTCGTAGTCGCCCTTGCCATTGGTGAAGAGAGGCGCCGCCGGCCCTGGGCGAAGGGGCTCGCCGTTGCCGTTGTCGTCCAGAGGCGCCGCCGGCCATGGTTGAAGGGGCTCGCTGCTGCTAATGGTCGCTGGGGAGGGGGCGCCGCCATCGGTGGAGTAGGGGTTGGGAGGAATCGCCATCGCTAGATGCGACTGGCTTCTGGACGCGATCCCGCTGCCGGTGTGCCGCAGGGCCACCTCCGCCGGTGTGCCGCTGGTAGTGCGGAAGCCCGACGCCGCCGGACATCATCCGCCCGTGGAAAAGTCGCCGCCGCCGCCATCTGAATCGGGAAGGGAGAGAATAAACGGGGATATTTAACTTTTTACCGTTATTACTCGTGGCGACCGGTAAGATAGCATCTTTAGGTCTGATGCTACGTTTTTAAGCATCGGAGAGAGAAAAACGATAGATATTTGTTACTTTTGCTTGTGTGGCACGCTAGGTCCACTGTCCAGCTTTGGATCCGAGTCAGCAGGCCGATGTAAAATGACCGCCCTGCCCCTGGCGTCTGTATTACCTCGTGGCCCACTCCACTCTCCCATTCGCTCCCCTTTCTTCTTTCTCTGGTCCGCGCGCGATGCCCGCCAGCCGCCGCCGCGCACAATGCCGCCCCCCACCGCGAGACATGTCCTCCCCGAGCACTTTGGCGATGGTGTAAAGGTATGTGCCTGCTTGGAACCCTGTCCGCGGTCTGCATTGTTGCCTTGATTTGGGGATTAGGGTTAGGGTTCGTCGATTTGATTCAGTTTTTCTCCATCTCTACTTAGGCCGGTGATCTATTCCCTAGTTTCTCAAACAATGGATAGGACCGGCTGTCCCGTTTGGTAAGATCAATCACTCCATCTCATTGCATTCGAAATGGTAAATGTTGTGTACGAACCGTGCCGTGTAGGATGTTGTCTAACTCGTTGATTTATTTTTTGTGGCTGCATTCTGTCAGGATTGATCCTGGCAACGCGCTTAGATTAGTTATTAAGGTTCCTAAGTTTGTTGCCGACGTGGAGTATGGGCTAGTAGGAATGGCTGATCAAGAGCATGAACTGTGGCCGGATAGAAACTTACAGTATAGTCTAGAGAAATTTCATGAGGAGATGGCCACAAAGATCATTTGGGGTCCATCACGAACTCTGGCAGTCTAGGTTGTTGACACTGACAGTGGTTCTGAATGAAAAGTCAGAATGGATGAGCATTTTCAGCAGCTGATAAAGGACAGATGGGCTGACAGGGTTGCTTTCTTGTAGTTGATGTGGTCAGCAAACATGTTGAGTCTGTTAATGCTAGTTCTGGTAGAAGGTGTGTTTCTGGTGTGACAACTGATGAAGGCAGTGGAATTCATGGTAATGGAGGTGGTAGAGCTTCTAATGCTGCCCCTAAGAATGTAGAGGGCACTGGTGATACGTGCAGTACTCCTCCTCCCTTTGTGGCTGCTAATGTAGCTGAGCCAGTTGATTGGGCCAATCTGACCATACTACCATATGACAATGATGATGGTTGTGCCAATGCAGCTGCTGATGAGGACAAAGTGTATGAGGCAATGGGATTTAAGGCTATAGATGAGAGCGCAGAGGAAGCAACTAGGGAAGCAGTGCCTATCCCTATCATGACAACAGAGATGCAAAAGGATATGGGTGAATCTGTTGTTCCAGTTGATGACAATGTGCTTGAGGAGCTAATGTTTCAGTGGGACAGGGACAATCCTGACATGTTTGTTGGTGTTTGTTACCCTAGTGTCGGTGCAGAATATGACCAACTAGTAAATATTTGTAGTTTTGTTATACGTTGTGATTGGAGGTGGCCTAGCACTCAATGACACAGGGTTTATACTGGTTCAGGCAACGTGCCCTACGTCCAATTTGGGTCGGTTAGTGACTTTATTCCTGAGCTCAGGTGCTCGAAGTTTGCAGTGGGATTACAAACGAGAAGGAGAAAGATGGGGTGTACAAGAGTTCTGGTCGACTCTGGTCGGAAGGGCCAAGAGCGACAGGAGCTACGCTATGAGCTAAGTGTTCAAGCGTGTGCTTGGGGTATGAACCCGGTGGTTCTGTGGCTGTGAGCTGATGAACTCGATCGATGTTGGTTTACTCAAAAGGACTCAAGAAGCTCTCCTTTGTTGGAGGGAGCGCATCCCCTTTTATGGATAAAAGGGATGGCTTTACAAGTGAGAGGATGAGGGTACGTATGCTACTGGGCTCTGTCGCCCATGCCGGTGGGTACAAGATAATGGTGGGCGCCTACAACACTATTGGTCATCACTGTAGAGTGTTAGATGCACGTGGGAGGTTGCGTTGCCTTCTTCAGAAATGGAAGATGTTAGTACCTGCAAAACACTGTTGATGCCCAGAGGCATGTGAGGAGTTTCACCATGTTCACCTAGTACGGTAAATCCCGACGCCCATAACACTATCGATGTCCAAAGGCATGTGGGGGGCCTTACCGTACTAGGTGAGAGGCCATCCGGAGGTGGTTGGAGTCCGAAGCGAGCGCTCCGGTCGGAGAGGTGGGCTGAAGTAGTCGACGAGCAGGCGCGGTTCCTCTTCGGCCAGACCTTCTAGTCGGTGACTAGACCACTCTTTCTGCCTGCTGTTTTAGATCCTTGGGCCGGCCCATGAGTTGTGTGCTGCCCACTTGGGCTGAGCCTTGGCGTGGAAGCCGGTCCCCGAGGGACCTCGGGTTTATGAACCCGACAGGAGCCCCTGAGCCCTCGGGCGATTCGGGTAGAATTGTCTGGGGGATTTTATTTTTGACGGCGGGTGCGCACGAGCGCACCCGCGGGTGTAGCCCCCGAGCCCCCGGGCGGTTCGGGCAGAACTGTCTGGGGGGTTTTCTGTGTTGCCGGCGGGTGCGCGCGAGCGCACCCGCGTGTGTAGCCCCCGGGCGGTTCGGGCAGAACCGTCTGGGGGGTGTTCGGTAGTGGGCGTGTGTGCGCGTGTTTCAGCTGGGACGGAGTTTTTAACCAAGGCGTCGTTGCGCAGCTAAGGCGTTTTTTGAGAGATTTGAGACAAAAAACTCACTGATCCTGGCATCGGTGCGCGCCATGGGATCGGGCGAGGAAGTTAGTTTGGACGAGACGAAGCTCACTGATCCTGGTGTCGATGCGCGCCGTGGGGATCGAGTGAGGAAGTTAGTTTGGACGAGACGAAGCTCTCTGATCCTGGCATCGATGAGGAAGTTAGTTTGGACAAGACGAAGCTCACTGATCCTGGCATCGATGCGCGTCGTGGGATCGGGTGAGGAAGTTAGTTTGGACGAGACGAAGCTCTTTGATCCTAGCGTCGATGCGCGCCGTGGGATCGGGTGAAGCGTAGCCGGATGGGGCGAGATCGGGGTCGCAGACCCATGTGTTTGGAGCGCAGTCGGAAGCGTAGCCGGATGGGGCGAGATTGGGGTCATAGACCTAGGTGTCCTTGGAGCGTAGTCGGAAGCGTAGCCGGATGGGGCGAGATCGGGGTCGCAGACCCAGGTGTCCTTGGAGCACAGTCGGTGAACTTGGATCTAAAACAACAGGCCGTATGGGAGTTAACGGCGCCTACAATACTGTGGAAGGAAATGTCGGCGCCTACAAAACTGTTCGTGTCAGGGTGGTTGCAGAGTACTGTACAGGGTATGGTCGCTAGTATCGTGGTTTGACTCTGTGCGCCCTGGCTCACTTTTCCGTTCGTCGCCTGGTTCCTTCCGAGCGGGCGTTCCCGGTCGGATGGCCCCAGTCGGTCCTGGTCGCGCCAGTTGGAGAAGAGTGGTGAGCAAGGTTTCTGCGAACCCCGGTCGGAGACGCAGGGTCGGAGTCAGAAGTAGCGTTTTGGGCCAGCCTTCTGATCGGAGAGGCCATCCGGAGGCGGCTGGAGTCTAAAGCGAGCGCTCCAGTCGGAGAGGTGGGCCGAAGTAGTCGACGAGCGAGCGCTATTCCTCTTCGGCCAGACCTTTTGGTCGGTGACTGGACCACTCTTTCGCCCTGTTGTTTTAGATCCTTGGGCCGGCCCATGAGTTGGATGCTGCCCACTTGAGTCGAGCCTTGGCGTGGAAGCCGGTCCTCAAGGGACCCCGGGTTTATAAACCCGACATCTAGTATGGATGATTTCAGGCTAGCAGTGAGGTAGCATGCCATTGTAAAGGAGTTTGAACTTGCTACTGCTCATTCAGACACTTAGAGGTTTAGGGGCCACTATGGGTCTCTTGGCTGCCCCTGGATTATTAGAGCTAGGACACAACGTGATGGGAGTGTCAGGGTACATTTTTTTGCTATGTTATTCACTGTTTTATTCTCTAATTGTTCATTGTTTTATCAATTGATTACTTATGATGCTGTGTGGTGTGAATTTGCAGGTTCAAATAAATGAAGGAATACACAATTGTGCTTCTAGAGCTAGAGTTCTTGGGAAAATGGCATCACAGGCTTGGGTGGCAGAGAGGGCCATACCCTTACTAAAGAAGAAGCCAAGTATGGGTCCAAAGGTAGTGCAGGAAGAGCTTCAAGACAAGTACAAAATAGAGATCCCATATCAGACTGTTGTCTATGGCAGACAAAGGGCAGCCAACAAGTTATTTGGAAAATGGGAGGATTCATTTGATTGGTTCTACAGATTCAAGGCAGAGGTAGAGATGAGATCACCAGGTAGTATATTGGAGATAGACACAGAGACTGTGGATGATAAGGTTCACTTCAAGAGATTTTTTTCTGTTTCAATGCTGCTATTGATGGTTTCAGGAATGGCTATAGGCCATACATTAGTATAGACTCTATAGCCCTGAATGGGCTTTGGAATGGCCACCTGCCTACAGCTCAAGCTTTGGATGGCCATAACTGGATGTACCCCTTGGCATTTGGTTTTTTTTGACTCAGAGACCAAGGAGAACTAGACCTGGTTCATGGAGCAATTTAGCAAGTCCATAGGCCCTATAGAGAACCTAGCTGTTTGCATTGATGCTTGCAAGGGCCTTGAAGCTGCAGTGGCCAAGGTTTTTCCTAACAGTGAACAGAGGGAGTGCTTCAGGCATTTGATGGATAGCATGAAGAAGTACTACTCAAGAGATGTTTATGCCAAGAACATGTGGCCTATAGCAAGGGCATATACACCCCACAAATTTAAGTACTTCTTTGATAAGGTAGTAGATGCTAGTCTAGATGTGCTTAATTGGCTCAAAG